CTCCTAGGAAGTAAAATTTGTACCGTAGCATTGCCCTATGCATGTTGCTGTGACTGAGTTCATCAAGTAGTTAGTATTTTTCTTATAAAAAAGAGTTTATTCAGAAGTAATTTAGCAACCTTCTACTCCCTTCATTTTAAATGTGGTAGTTAAAAACGAAGGGAGTAGTGCTATGCAGGAGTAATAAGTAAATCTTCATCTAACAATTAACCTCGATCTCTTGGTAGCTTACTTACTGTCTACTCTATCTGTATGGATGATATCGTTTGATTAACACTCATCTCTCTCCCTTGTCTGTAAACCTGTACCCCATCTGCATGATTGCACATCATAAACCAGATAAAGGCCAACAAAGAGATGCAAATCTCTTGCCACAATCTGTAAGATTGGTTTTGCCATACCTATATGTAGCTAGGCGCATAGGCCTATCAAAGATTAGACCATCTAAAAAACCTCTATATCAGACCATCATCAGTGAAGCTGCAACACGCTAATATATGATTGGAAAAGGCATGCATGCATGCAGACGAAAGCGAGAACCAGCATGCATGATGGATGCTGAGGTTGACCTCGGAGTTAGCGCCGCCATCCACCGTTGGACCTGGAACAGGATACTGCACACATGAACACCTAGCCATGCAGGCCGTTCGCTTGTCTTAAAATCCGGCTTGTTCGATTTTTTTTTTCCAGTCAGAACATTATTTTTCTTTCACAACAAATTAGCCGGAACAGTGTTTTGACTTCTTTTTTCAGACAAACGAACAGAGCCAAACTAGTAGCAGCTAGAGGAATTACTCCTATATCTCTCCACTGAAACAAAGAACATGTATATTCATTCCTAGCTCCTAGCTCCCATCTCTCTATCCTAAGTGTTAGGAAGTTGGCTATCTAATTTGATTTAAAATAGAAAATATATTATGCTGGGGGCAGCGGCATTATGTTGGACAATTTAGAGATGTTGCAATGTTGTAATCTTTAGTTGGCGAGCAGAAAATTAGAGACCACCATGTTGGAGTTGTTCGCCTCTCACGGATGAAAATTTAATAATAGATTATGTTATGTATAATTTTTGCATTTCTTGTTTCTCTGATTCAATATTACTATAGAACTATGTAATAATGTAAATGTTATGTGCAGACACGCAGAGGTGAGAAGTCTCTTCCACTTTTTTTTTAAAAAAAAAAGAGTCCCAGCTCTCAGCCTCGCATGGTTTTCTGATTAACCTACCACTCCTAATAATTAGTTAACCCTGCTAATAAATAAAACAGCAGGCAGAAGCAACAGGAGGAGAAGGAAGTCCATTACACCACAGGAAAACGAGGTGCATGCATGCTTCCATGTGAAGGTGACTACATAGAGTAGCATATTTGCACAGCAGGTGGTTCTCTCGTAATCACAGCTGGTTGATCTTACATATGCATGCGTGCATGGGCTGGTCCTGGCATGCATGAGATCAGACAGTCGGGCTAAGCTTTGAAGTATTCCCACTAGCAAGCAATGTCTGGTCGAGGTGAGTATCACACACAATGCATGGCACACCAATGCAGCATGCAGTGTCGGGGGCCGTCAAATCGGTCGGGCTTTTACTCCCAGTAATGATAGTATAACAAGACGGGCTGATGGGGCAGACTCATTAGCATTTCGGTGAAATTGGGCGATGGAGTGACCTAGACATGGGGATTAAAGCATGCATGTAGCATGCGTATGTGCATTGTATTACCTCTGTCCTAAAATACGTTTTGGGGATTTTTAGGATACAGTGTTTAATAAAATTCACCTATATATATATATATATATATATATATATATATATATATCCCTATTTATTGAATGTAATTATCCACGTTAATAAAAAAATAAGTCAGTCCTTAAAAGAAATACACAGAGATATTATTCATGCTACAATCTTAAACTGATATGGACCTAACCAAGTGCCTAAAAGTTAAATCATCATTTTTGGATAATTATTTATTTCTAAGAGCAACTCCAAGCCACTCTCTATATCATTCCTAATTGCTAGAAATAGAGAGTTTGATGAAAAAAAAACCCTCCAACATTTTATTTATTTGATTATTCAAATATAATCATCTTCTATTTCGGATTTCTTACTATCAAAGATAGAAAACGAGAATAACTCTTTAGAGTACACACAAGATGTAAAAAGCAATTAGAGAGTGAGAAGATATAGAAAGCGATTTTTATGCCAATGACTTTCAAATGATAATTTAAAGAGTGAGCTTCAAAAAGACTCTCAAACATGCTCTAAAGCATAAGTTTTTTTTTTTTGACCGAGGGATGATATATACTGGTATATGTGGTGTACTGGTGTGGGATTAGTTTTTTTTTTATGAAATGGTATGGGATTAGTGAAAAGAGATCGTGTCAATCCCGATAAAGCGGTGAAACGCCAAAAGCCCGGAAAAGGGAAAAGCTAGCACGCAGGAGCAGGACGCAGCATCAGCAGCGTACGTCAAGCCGGCCGGCCGGACGGCAAGCGAGATCGGCGGAGACGTTAGGCGGAAAGCTGCGTACATGCGAATCAGGGTCTTAAATTCTTAATTATTAGTTGTGAACTCGATGTCACAAACCCGGATCAAATATAAGTATCACCGAACACCGATTCGGTTTGAAACTCACTTGCTTCTTCATTTCGCTCCCTGCTGCGAAGAATATGCTCCTTCTCGTGTTTTTTTTTTTTTGAACGTAACTCCTTCTCGTGTTTTTTCTGGCGCTTGTCGTATATTCCTCTAGCGAGTCATGCGACACTCGAAAAATATAGCTAAGTGGCTAGTCATTCAGCGCAGCATTAATATGTTGGTCTAATTGGTTTGCTTTCAAAATCTTCCATGCAAATGATTTGTCAAGCCATGATTTTAGCTAATATTTGGTTTGCTATCAAAATTTGCTAAACTCTCACATTTGGCCTGCCAAATCTATAACAATGTTTTGGCCCCAACTTTTGGCTTGTCAAATCTTTGGCATGGCAAATTTTGTATGTCAACCAGCAGATCCGTTATGTATTCATGTGGATGCATTTCATATTTTTACAATGCAATTTTTTAAAAACATATATAGACATTAATTAGAATGCTTTTGTAAAATTTCTATATTTTTTAATATTTTCTCAATTTTTAGAGCTAAATCTAATGTTTTGATTTTTTTTAAATATTTTTCTTATTTTTTAAGTTAAATCTAATGTTTCGACACTTATAGATATATTTTCATGGGCTCTAAATCTTTCTTTGAATTCTTCATATCCCAGTCTGTCTGCATGATTTCTGTCCGAACTTTTTAAAGGTTAGAGATATTTTTTGAGGATTAAAATTTTTGTCAAGTATTTGTCGATTTTTTTAACTAAATAAAAAGGATAAAAACACCTTCAAAATCAATAATAGTGGTTTTGAAGTTTTGGAAGTGAGATCAACGTAAAGCCCATAAACTATTGTTTGGTGGACTGACTTGCCTCAGGGGGTGTTTGGTTTTACCTCCAAAACTTTCGTTGTCCCATCCAGCGGCGGATCCAGAAAAAAAATTAGGGGGGTGAACAACACATACCTCCGACTGCTGCTCGATCTTAAATCTCAGCCCCACCTATACTATAGAACTTTGCCTAAAAATTCATGGGGCTCCAGGGGTTCCACTGCTCCGATATGGGTAGCCCCCCCCCCCCCCCCCCCCACCCCACCGTTGGATCCGCCCCTGGTCCCATCGAATGTTTAGACACATGTATGGAGTATTAAATAAGACTAATTACGAAACTAAGGGATATTTAATTTATTGCCATTCTTATCGATGGCACCTCTCCATTTGCTAGCTTTAGGATAGAACCTATAGAATTACCATTCAAAACAGTGAGTCTCATACGTTTTTGCCATTTTTGCTGACGTGGCACGCTATGCGAGCGTGCCAGAGCGGCAGGTCCCGTGGGAGTCCTAACTTGGCACAGGAAAAGACTGTTTTGCCCCCACCTCCTTCTGTCTTGTGGCCCAATGCCGGTCACTCCTTTGGTCAAACCCACTCGCAACCAAGAGCCCCTCTCTCCCCCAGCCCCCAAGTGGAGGTGTCCCACGCAGTGGCGTGTACACGGACATGGGCTTGGGCGGGGAGTCCCCGCCCATGTCATCCGACCAGCGCACCTCGCTCGCGTCTTCCACGTAGAAGGACACGGCGGCGGCCATCCACATGATGGAGTAGCGGAGGAACTCCATAGTGGGGTCGAACGGTAGCACGTACCGCTCCTCCCGGCCCCGGCCGACGCCGCTGTTGCCGTACACGTTGGTCTGCATGCACCCGCCATGGCTTGCCCTGAATGTTGCCTAGGAACTCGAAGTCTAGCTTGTTGTGCCGCTTCTCGAACGCGTCGCCGGTGGACGCCTGCAGACAGCATGCAGGAAGGTAGGAAGCATGTAGTCGGAGGGAAGCTTGATGGACGCGCTGAAGAAGTCGTGCTGGTACATACATGGACGAGGAGATGAAACCAGACCCTGCAGCAAATTAATCCACCGCAAATGCATTCTCATTCATCAATCAGATTAATAATTGCTCGCTCATTGGATAGATGTTTTCGAATATGATCGACCAGCAATCCAGCAATCGAATTGTTTATTGATGAATGCGTTTGACAAAGGCGTGCATAAAAAGTTGGAAACAGACGATCATCGGTGCCATGGTCGGCGGAGCGGAGGATGTTGGCATGTTGCCGTGGAGAACAGCGGCGCGTACGCGTCCTCGAACGCCATCGTCGTCATGTTGATCGTCGGGAGCCCGGACACGGCCCCCAGGACGACGAGCAGCGCCATCACCACCACCGGCGTTAGGCGGCCCATGTCTATACGGACCAGTGTCGCCACCGCCGCCGCCAGCCGAATGTTTCAGGGCCGCGCCGGCCAACGACTGCAACCACCTGCTCTACACCATGGCCACGCAGTGGCTCACGAGGCGCCGGCCGTAGCCCGCAGCACGTCAAGAAGAGCAGCAATAGCTAGTTCAAGCTGCCGGCCATGCTATCGTTGGCGTGGGCTTCGTCCTCCGCCCCGTCTAACGTCGAGGGCCTCGACGAGAACGTGTTCATCCCGGCCTGCCAACCAAGACGTCGCGACGCGGCGACAGACGGCTTCAAGTGGCAGATCGGCTCCATGTTCCGCGGCGAGCTCCCCGACCAGAGCACCGTGGCGGTGAAGCGGATGAACGGGCTAGGCACGCAGGGCCAGCGCGAGTTCCTGACGGAGATCGCCGTGATCGGCAACATCCATGACGTGAACCTGGTGAAGCTCCGCGGGTTCTAGGCTGAGGACGCTTGCTGGTGTACGAGTACATGAACCAGGACTTCCTGGACTAGACGCTCTTCCATCCCCCGTGCTGGCGTCGGCACGCTGGAGCTGGAGTAGGCGGCCCAGCTATGCGCGTGTGTGGGCGTGGCGTGTGGCGTGTGGCGTACCTCCACGTCGGTCGCGGGCGCCGGCGTCGGCGAGGGCGAGGGCAAGCGACACCGCAACGAGCGAGTCAACAGCGGGGGGCGGCGTGTGGACGCTGGTGCGACAGGGAGAGAATGGAGACCAGCGGGGAAGAGAATGGAGATCGGTGCTGAACGCTGGGGCCACAAAGGCAGAAAGGAGGCAGGGGTAAAACGGTCTTTTCCCGTGCTAAGTTAGGGCTCCTATGGGCGCTGCCGCGCTGTCAAGGTCACGTGGCGCGCCACATCATCAAAAGTGGCAAAAACGCATGAGGTTTACTGTTTTGTATGTCAATTCTATATGTTCCATTCTAAAGCTAGCAATTGGAGAGGTGCCATCCGTAACGATGACAATAAGTTAAATATCCTCAAAACTAAATGCACAAATTAAAACTGTTTTGCGAGACGAAAATTTTAAGTCTAATTAGTCCAGGATTTAACAATGTGGTGGTACAATAAACATGTGCTAATAACATATTAATTATATTTAATAAATTCATCTCGTGGATTACTGATGAATTTTGTAATTTATTTTTTTATTAGTATCAAACAACAATCTCGTATGATACCTTTAGGTAATGGACCAAACACCCCTTAGCAAGAACGGGGCTACCTTCGTGGGCTTAGCATATGAATCTTTTCTTGCTTTGCCTTGCCTTCGTTGTTCATGGGCTTTTATTTTCATTTTATACTTTAGGATTAGCTAGGATGCTAAACCTACTCGCGCGTTCTGTCTGCTCTCGCCCCCTCTCGCTCTCCGACGACTGGTGGACCGCCGCCGCCCTAAGCCAGGTGCTGAGGCTTTAGTTGGTCTCTTCGCCGGCGACGAGCACCCACCAGGTACTTCCACCCCTTCTCTTCCCTTTCCTTCAACCTGAGCACCGAAACCCAAGCCTAAAGCTATTAGCTATTTGACAAGCCACCAAACGTCGACGTTTTTGCAAAAATTATTGGGTGTACAGGTGTACACCCATGTCCCTTTACTGGATCCGCCCCTGCGGTGAGTCCGACGAGGCTGCGGCGGCCGAAGAGAGCATCTCTTAGGAGGATGAGGTGAAGCATTTGCGTTCTTAGTGTTTGCGTTGCTTAAGCTACTGGTTTGCAGACTCTTTTGTTGTTCCGTATTTTGTTTTCTGAGTATTTGAGGTTAAAGTGAGCTAAATTTCGTGTTGTTTGCAGGTGGCGCCAAGGAATACCGTGGGAGACGTACCTCTGGAGTGGTACAAGGACGAGGAGCACATTGGGTGTGACATCGATGGGAGGAAGATCAAGAAACGTGATAGGGAGGGGCGCATTGAAGCCTACCTCAGGAATGCAGATGATGCCAAGAATTGGTAAGGCTTGAACTTGCTCTGTTTCAGTCACTCAATCAGCTGTTGTCAGTTCAGACCAATCTTGAATGGATGAATGATCAAGCTTTGAGATTGCCTCATAGTAATGACAGATACTTATAATGCCATAATATATTTGTAATATGATATTAGGGATAATTTGCTCTGGCGGTAACCCTACAGAAATTTTGTAAGCTGGAAAATAACATCAGCATATTATAAACAAGTTGTCCTGGAATTATCAAGTTCACATTGGCAGCTGATGTCCAATTTACACATCTTTGGGGTGTTGCTGAGCTAATTTTTCCCTTGTATTTTTGGCGTGTTAGTGTTAACAATTTGTAACCAAACTTGTGTTTTTGGAGACTGCAGAGTTAAAACATCTCTAAGCAGAATGAGCTAATTGGAGATATGAGTGTGGCCATGGCTAATACATGAGATTTCCATCATTAAAGAGGGTTTTTACAATCTGATTGCAGCAAATTAATTGTAATTGTTGGGATAATATCTTGTGCCATGTTTCACCTGGCCTTGGTTGATATGCTGACATCTATAATGGATTCTGTTATTGAATTATCGTCCTACCCAACAATGGCCTGTATGAATTTTCAGCGTTAAACCTTGTTTACACCCTGGACCAATTACGGCCTTGTTTGGATGCCCATGTATCCATCTCAATCCATGTATGTTGGGGTGGGTTGGTACCCCAACACATATGAATTGAAGTGGACACATGAGCATCCAAACAAGGCCTACAGTGGTTTGTGTGACCTAAATGTTTAAATGCTGGGATTAGACCTGGCTTTATGACATGTACAGTAGAACTAGTAGCAAACAAATACTTAACAGCCAAAACATTGATCATTTTGAGTGAAGAGAGGATGAAAATCAAAGAGTTGCTAAATATTTGTAGGCTCATCTTGCTTGGGGATTGGGCCTTAGTATTTTGTTAGATCCTAGTGCGTCATACATTGACACATCGTTCTTCTTATATTTTGATTGTATTTGATCATCTTTCTGTTTATTAGTTATTACCACTAAGAACATTTACCTTAAAAAAGGGGCGTACCCAGTGCAGAGGGCTCCCGCTCTGTGCGGGGTCTGGGGAAGGGTGTCAGTGGCAAGCCTTACCCTCGCCTGTGCAATGCGAGGAGACCGCGACTCGAACCCGGGACCTTCCGGTCACAGGCGGTAAGACTCTACCGCTTGCACCAGGCCCGCCCTTCTAAGAACATTTACCTTAAAATTTTAAATTTATCCTAATATGGAAAATTGAGCTTTCAATTGCTGTCAAGTGGCTTAGTCACCTAACATTTCTGTACTCTAAATCTTACAACAGGACATTGTTTGTGTGGTTCAATCTAGCTGCATGGCATTTCAGTACATTTATAGTTTTTCTAAGAACATGGATTAAACAAGTCATTGACAGTCACTTTGATTCAGTGCTCCAGACTATACTCATAGATCTTTCTCCTCTGAGAACCATGTGATTATTCAAATATGGAAAATCTGGATCTCCCTGTGCCAGTTAGCAGATGCATCTGATTGTTTACCTTGTGCAATTTCTTTATACCTACACCTAGTACCATTTAGTTGTTTGCATTTGGTATTCTTTTTCTTGCTCATTTAACTTAATCTTATAATTTCTTTTCTTCCTCACCAAATGTAGGACAAAGATCTATGATGAGTATAATGACGAGGAGGTTCAGATTACAAAGGATGAGGCTAAGATAATAGTAGATTGTTAAAGGGAAAGACTCCACATACCAATGTTGATCCATATCCAGTATGTACTACAATCCTTATCTATAATATTGCTCAAGGTGCTAAGTTTAGATGTTCAAGTAAATGATCATCCAACAACCTAGTATTATATTTGTGGATGACTGAACACTTGCATGAGTTGTTTTGTTAAAACTTTCATACTAGATCTCCTTCTGTCGTTAGTCTAAGTACTGTAATGGTCGCTTATTTCTTGCTGACATGTGGCCTGTTTACAACTTAGTTTCACTGATAATAACCGATTGACCTGTACATGATATACACATATAGTTTTGAATTCGTTATGCATGGTGCCAATGATTGCTATCCAGATTCATGCAAATGGATTGCTCTTTTACAGTTAGATGATTTATTTTTGTTTCTCCATATGTTTATAGTGCACGGATGTGGCATACTGATTAACTTTTATCCTAGGATTATGTTGATTGGTTTGAATATGAGGATAAAGGTCATCCGCTTTCTAGTGCCCCTGAGCCAAAGAGGCAATTTGTACCTTCAAAGTGGGAGCAGAAGAAGGTATATCATCCATCTCATCTCTCTCTCTTTTTTTAGACCATTCTCTTTATTTGGTTTCATTTTTTTTTTCAAGACTGCTTGGATCATGAATGTCTTATTATTGATTTCTTCTCAGGTCTCTATACTGTTTCATTTGAATAATTTATCCCATTGAGCAGTGTTATGCAATGATCTAATGAATAGTCATGAGTTAAATATTCAATTAATTTTTATGATGATTAGCTATCTCTGATTCTTTATTTTTTCTAATTTCAGCATACTACTTCATTTTATGTTGTAATTAGAATGTTTCAAAATCTGGGGCCAAGCTGATAAAATAAAAGACACTTAAGCAATGGCTCAACACTTTGTGGTGGTGTTGTCCTGCCACACTGATTATGGGGTAATCTATGTGTCTTGGTAATCACCTGCATGGGTAGTGCAAATCTATTAATAGCCTAGAATTACATTAGAGAACATTTGAAAGAATGTAGTCACATGCCATCGCACATTTCTGGAAGATATTTGGTTGCCTAGGCAGTGAGGTGGTGGTGTCTGCTAGGGATGAGAGACAACCCATGAAATAGACAGTTGGGGAGGGTGGAACTAGATTGTTTCATTGTTTATCACTTCATTGTAACCTGTAAGCAACTAAGCATATCTTCTAATCTTAATGATTGTAACTAATTTATTTAGAGTTAAGCTTGATTGTTTCTGGAATTCGGGCATGTTGCTATAGTATGACACAGTACTGTTTACTGGTTCAGTCCCTCTGCATGACCCATACACCAGCCCACCTAGGGCCTCTCATCATACCACATGTTTAGGAAGTAGCAGGTGACTTAGTTATGCAGTCACAAGTTTTGTGTCTCAGTTATGCATTCACTAGTGAATTTGGGAGCTTACATAACTTACTGTTATTCTGTTGCGGTGCTTCTTTTTTGTCTGAACAGAGACAAAATCTTGCATTTGCATCCTGCAGTAATCACATGGCTTGTTTTGGATCTTCTCTCTTAAACTGCTCCGTGATTGTATTGCGTTTTAAGTTATTTGAATTACCCCTTGAGCTCATGCATTCTGGTGGTAGGTTGTTAAACTTGTAAGAGCCATTCGTAATGGATGGATAAAGTTTGACAAGCCCAAGGAGGAACGTAACTTGTATCTATTATGGGGAGATGAAACTGATACAGCAGACAATAAGCGGCATGGCTTGAGCTACATTCCTCCTCCTAAACCTAAGTTACCAGGTATGTTGACATTCCTTTTTCAGCATTAGTCACTTCTATAATAATCTTTGAGAAATTATTGGAACATGTTTCACTTAGTGCTCATGTACTATATAATTTTCTATTGATTCTTCATGGTGTATCCAGGTCATGAAGAGTCATATAATCCTTCCATTGAATACATTCCTACACAAGAGGAAATAGATTCATACCAGCTTATGTATGAGGAGGATCGCCCAAAGTTCATTCCGAAACGGTACTATCTTCCTTTTTATTGTCCATTGTCTTATATCATCTAAATCATTTTGACTTTTGAGTTGTGCGCTTCACCAGATTTGAGTCCCTTCGAAGTGTACCTGCATATGAGAAGGCACTGAGGGAAGGTTTTGATCGGTGTCTAGATCTTTATCTCTGCCCTAGAACCCGCAAAAAGCGTGTAAGTTGAGCCCCTATGCTATTTTTATGCATTTATTGCTTTTGTCTCTAATTTGTGCCAATCATTTGACAATGCCAGATAAATATTGATCCTGAGTCACTCAAGCCCAAGTTACCAAGTAAAAAGGATTTGAGGCCATACCCGAAAACTTGTTATCTTGAGCTCAAGGGCCATGCAAGTCTGTGAAATCCATTTCGGTTGAAATTACAGCAATGTTTTAAAGGCGGTAAGGCGAGGCGAGGCGAGCGACCCCCTTCTGGACGCCTAGGCGAATAAGGCAACCGCCTAGGCGACGCCATATAAACATATTAATATATAAGTTAACTAAAAATTCAGAAGCAAATCAGACATTAATATTGCCAATTCTTAACATGTAATACAATAATAAGTGGTCCTACTAGACTACTAGTACACAACATCAAGTAGTAAGGTAGCAACTCTGAGATCTCTCATCTCTTAATGGCCATAAACTAGTCTCTAGTGACATAATATAACATAATTAATAGTGATGCACTGCTGCTAGCACAAAACTGAAATCTCTAATCAATGTCATCTAGGGATGTTGTGGCCTTCTCCTTCTAGTTTCCAAGTCATCTCTCATCTCCTTTCTAATTGCACTAGTAGTCATTGTGCATGTTTTTGTATCTCCAAAGCCATTAGCCAGACGTTGCTTCAACCTTTTTATCCCTCCATAAAATGAGTGACCACATAGGGTGCATGTCACCACATCTCTGTTACAAAGGTTTGGCCAGTAGGCATACTTCCACCCTGGATCTGAACTTGCCATTGTGCTATCAACTGTGAACACAAGAATTAAAGAACTAATAAAGAACAGCACGTGGAAAGGAATCAGCAGTCCACTCCACTCTGCATCTATGGACCAAAGGAGCAGGGGTAAAAACAGAGCAGCAGCGAGCAGGGTTGAAAACAGAGAAGCAGAGAACAAGGCCTTTATTGATTCTGTTTTATTTCCATCTGTTCTGGATTCCTTTTTCTTTTCAAGTGTGGCACCTCTCTACTTGTAGGTATGTTTATATGCATGGTCACATTGAATATTCAGGACCAATGATATCATAGTTTTAATTTCCCCATTCAATTGTACACCTTAATTCCAACGTACGCTATACAAGAGCTGTATTGTTGCATCAGCTCACAAAAAAGCACTCGCACCATCCTTTCCGTAAATTGCCAGGCCTTCCTGTTGCCGCAACATTCCGTCCAAGTCAGAAGATGTTCTTTGTTGCTACTAAGAAATTTGTTCAGGTTTATGATCTCCAAAAAGCTCAGTTGGTAAAGAAGATGGAGTCAGGTCTCCGCGAGATTTCCTCCATCTCGATCCATCCTGGTGGTAGGTCACAAGTCAGCTTGTTGCGAATTTTGAAATCTTCTAACGAGTTGCTTCAAACTGATTGCATCTGTTGGTAGCAAAATATCAATATTTGTGGTTAAGTATTGTGATTACTTCACGTTTCTTTTGTAGGTGATAATGTTATTGTCGGAAGCAAAGATGGAAAACTATGCTGGTTTGATAGTACTCATCTATCTACCAGACCATACAAGACTCTAAAGTATGGTTCTTCTCTTATTTCAATCCCTTTTTGAAAATAAAAAGGACAAGTAATTTTTCAAGATCTTCATATAAGATGCAACTTGATTTTCATGTGTTCTACTATATTTAGAATGCTCATGGTCTAATGTGTTCCACTGTATTAATTTCTTCTGCCTACTTTTCTTAGGATTTTATGCCACACTCAGGAAATGACATGCTAAAGTGCTGAGGAATCACTTTGGATCTACTCAATTCGTCCGGTGAATTGATCGCCCGGAAGTGCGCGCGGAGTCGCAACGCAAGCGGCGTCAGTAGGAGATGTCGACGAGCGCGACCATGGCTTGCGCAACGATGGCATCCCCGTGCGTCCTCTGCTGCACGGCGCGGAGCGAGGCGTACCGGTGGCTCCGCGGCTGCAGCACGGGCACGGCGGCCCGGGCGGCAGCGGCCCCCGCGTAGGCGTAGCGCCGCAGCTCGGCGTCGTAGAAGGACGCGACCCCGCGGAGCGCGATGCACGCCCGCGGCAGGTGGCGCGCGAGCGGCAGCGCCAGGTTGAAGGGCCACAGCAGGAACGCGAACTGGAACGCCTGCAGGAACCCGGCCGCCACTGCCGGCACGGCGAGGAGCGCCACGTGAACCGGCATCGTCGATGAGCCACCACCGTACCGCTGCTCCCTCTCCCTGCTAGACGATGTCTGCAGTCTGCTTGCTTGCACTGGACCTATATGTCTATATATATCCCTCTGTGCTTGCCATGGCTTGGCTTTATGCCCGACGAGCTCGATCGGGCAAGGCGTTGTAGTCAGCGAAGACGACCTGATCGACAAGCCATGGACGGGGGGGCAGATACGTACCTTGCTTGCGGACAGTGGCAAGGGGGTTCTCTCTCTACATATAACTAGTTTTTCACGCGCGCCCATACGCGCGGTTCACTGGCCACACGTATTTTTTGGAGAAAAAAAAGATATAATCAAAGTTGGGCTGTATTTTGATTTGAGAAAAATCTGAGGATGTTTTCGCAAAAAACGGTGAGAGTGTATGGGGAGCGCGAGTTGATTTTCGATAAAGTGGAGGTCTTTTTTGCAAACAAACCAGTGCCCATCCGTCTGGACTGAACGTTGATTTGGAAATAATACGAGGCGTTTTTTGTAAAAATTTCTGAGAGGACATCTAGAGCGCGGGTTGATTTCCGAAAATTTAAAGGGGTTTTTTGTAAAACGACCGCGCTTTCGCCGATCTAGGCCGTCCATGCTGACGATCGAACGCCGAATGAAAGCCGCAACGACGTGGCCACCCTGAGGCCGCGCCGTGGCCACACCAAATCATATCTTTATGTTTTCGCAAAAAACGGTGAGAGTGTCTGGGGAGTGCGAGTTGATTTTCGATAAAGTGGAGGTCTTTTTTGCAAACAAACTAGTGCCCATCCGGTCTGGACTGAGCGTTGATTTAGAAATAATACGAGACGTTTTTTGTAAAAATTTCTGAGAGGACATCTGGAGCGCGGGTTGATTTCCGAAAACTTAAAGGGGGTTTTCGTAAAACGACCACGACTCGCCCGATCTGGGCCGTCCGCGCGGCCGATCGAACGGCCGCGAAAAGCCGGCGACGTAGCTACCCTGAGGCCGCGCCGTGGCCACACCAAATCATATCTTTAGATTGGTCCGCCACTGCTGATTGTTTTGGACTAGCTAGCTCCTCAATTAACGAGAGTCTAACAGATTCTTTGACTCCGTTAGTCCTCTGCCCCTCTTGCCGATCGATAGATGGTGCCGGTCACAGATTAATTAATCTAGATGGCCGGCGATATCACGTTGTTCTTAGCTGACGTCTGCTTCTGTCGCGAGATTATTCTCCTGAGGGTTCGATGTCACGTCGTCGTTTTCTCCGTTGGAGACAGCACACAGGGATTCTTTTGTTCTGGACCTACAAGCAACAGTACCATTATTTTAGGGACAGACTAATGTGGAGTGGATGGCAGGGCTTGATGATGGTCTGTTCAGATCATAACTTGTAATTAGGGCGCGTTTAGATGCAAATTTTTTTAGTTTTTAGCTACTATAGCACTTTCGTTTGTATTTGATAATTAGTGTCTAATTATGGACTAATTAGGTTCGAAAGTTTTGTCTCGCGATTTCTCACCTAACTGTGTAATTAGTTTTTTTTTCGTCTATATTTAGTACTCTATTCATGTGCCACAAGATTCGATGTGATAAGTACTGCACAAAAAATTTTAGAAACTAAATAGGCCCTTGATGCAGTCGGTCTGAGCCGACCTAGCCCTCTCGCTGCAGCTTATTGAGGTGCGGCTGCGGCTGCAGCTTATTGCAGCTACAATACATAGTAGTTGTTCTAAAAAAAATTTACATAGTAGTTGTTCCTTCGTAGCCGCAGCCACAGCCTGAAGCAGCTGCAGCCAGCACTCTCGACTTCTCGCTTCTTAACAAGTCTACTAGTTTAACTTTAACTAAATATATATATATATAATATTAATGTTTTTAATACATAATAAGTATTATTTGATATATTTTTAACTATATTTTTATAATAAGCTTAGGAAAATTATTTTCTACTCTCAGAGAGTAGTTACTCCCATGTGTATATCTCTAGATTTAGAGCGTATATGACCCGATGAAGTATATGTAGATGAAGTATATAATCGTACTAGACCATCTATGGTACTATGTATGTCAAGTATGCAAGTATACTTAGAGTATATGGTTATACTTATTTTATATACTACTGTCATAGTATTAAATAATATATTAAAATCAGGGGCTCTTTTGAAAATTTTCACATAGTAAAGATCTAGAGTACCTTAATATGAGTATATTAACATACTCAAACTAATAAATGAGTATGTACACATACGCAACGTGATTTATTGATCATGAGAGTAATTACTCCTGGGAGTATATTAAATGCACCCATAAACTTATTTAGATATATAAATATTGCTAATATTTTTTATAAACCTAGTTAATAAAAAAGGTTGATCAGCATGAATACCATAATGAATTTTTTATGTGAGAGAGTACCACATTATCGACCTATCGCCTTGGAACCAGGCACAGAGTAAAATTTGGTCGAAGCATAATTTGTTCATAAAACCAAGGGTTTTAGGATTGAGTGAAATCTATAGCAGGCTAATGGAAAAATATCAGTGTGAACCAAACGACGAATCTAGAATTTTACCAAAGGGTATGCCGTATGAAAAAAATTCATATACAATTTGATAAAATCATTTACCAATTCGATAAATAATTATAAATTTTTAAACATAATTCGGTATATATAGGCACTAAATCACAAGATAAGTTTTATGGCCCGTTGGATCAACTACAAGTAGTTATTGGCTACGGCTAAAAAACAGTTCAAATTAGTTGGAGTTTGCTAGCTAATTAGCTAACAACTAGTCTCCACTAACAAATTAGCATATCTATTAGCCCATGTTTGAAAGGTTACGCTTAAAATTAGCTCACTAACAATTAGCATACGTATCGAAATTGGCTCTTAATTTCGAAGACGAAGTTGCAAAATGAAAACTTCTAGAAATTACAATAAAACTAGTTCAAACGACATGATAGTTCGAAATATAGATATAAAATAGACTTGCAATACTTATTATTTGAATTTTTTAGTCAACGGTTAAATAGATAAGTTTTTTTTTATTTTTTACAATATATAAATATACGCACGTACTGGGAGCCAGGTATACCCCTAGATCTGCCCATGGTGTGAACGGTTTCATGGAGCAGTTGTAGGCATCTGTTATGGAGTCATGAGACAATATATGTTCATGTGTACACATCTAACGTATGAGATTGTTGATTAAATTTAGAAGAAATAGTTAGAAAGAAAAATTACAGTTCTCTTATGCGTTGGAATGTTGGATGCACGCGCGCATAGGCATGTAGAATCCATAACAAGTGTCCAAGGACGCTCCATATGAATCGTCACTACTAAACTATAAAAGAAAAGGAAGAGAGAGAAAAAACAAATTAGCCACTTGACCAGGTTGAAGCAAAAGAAAAAGCAAAAGGCGAAAAAAGGTAATGCTAGCAATTTGACGTCTGTCCACGTCTGTTGGTGGACCCGACATCTAGGAACATATCCCCTCCCCTCCCATCGTCATAGATTATAAAAAAAACTCACGCAACCGTGACCATGTTCTGCCGCGCCTCCCGCACGCCTTCCGCTCCACTGCGCCTACTGCCGGCCTTCCTCTCCACCACTACCATGCCCGCACAGCCGCTGCCGACTCACTGCGCGAGGCCGCACACACCCGGCTGTTGTTGTCGCCTCCATCGTGGACACCGCTCACTGGGGGCACTAGGGGCGCCCTATCGCCGGGGGCAGTGCAGCCACTCACCGGGGGCCAGACAACCGCCTGCCCATTGCCGTCCTCCTTCTCCACCGCGACCGCACAAACGGATCTCGTTGTGCAGTGCTCCGCCCACCTATCTGTCAGGTTTTACTAAAAGCGCATGTTGCAAGCTAATGTTTCTAAGTGTTTCAGATGTTTTAGAGTTATGCTGCAAGTGTTTCAGATGTATGTTGCAAAAGTAGATCGAGATGTTGCATATGTTGCTATCGTTGTACACGTATGTTGTAAGGTTATGTTACTAATGTTTCATCTGTGTTTTCCGGACGTATGTTGTAAGTGTGTTTATCTGGATGTTGCGTATGTTTCACATATATGTTGCATGTGCTTTATCTGGATGTTGCGTATGTTTGCAATGGTTTTCGAGTGTTTTCAGGTGTTTTTCTCAAGTGTTTCAGAACCATGTTTCAAGTGTTTCATCTGTCTTCAGACATATGTTGCAAGTGTTGCATTTTAACGTTTCAAAAATAGATGGGGTGTTGCATCTCTCCTCCTCGCCTTTGGTGTCTCCTCCTTCTCCGGCGCCTGTTGGCCATCCGCTGCTCCCTCTCCCACTTCTCAATGATGGTGATGTCCGGGGCAGTGCGGGCCCCACATGGGCGCGTAAAACGGCGCGGGAAACGGATTGCGGGTGTCCGAACGTCCGGATGCTAGCAAGTGTTTAAAAAACGG